TCACCTTGATCAAGTGCGGTCTTCTCATTCACTGCTCTTGGGTCATGTGAATGGAGTGCTACTGCCTGAAGATCCTGCATACATTGAACCTGCTGCTAAGAGCTATTCTTGCATTTCCTCCTCCAGTTTCTCAAGGGTGGAAAGGAGACTGCAAGATCACCATTTCTACAGCTGATCCTGTAAAGTTTCAAATAAGGTACAGCAGGACATAATTTTCCATTTTCCAACAAGAAAATCTTAAGGTGTCCCGGTGAGGATGTTTCTGTGGTGGCTGAATTGTCCAATCCTGGAGCTGAAGACTCTGTCACAGAAGAGGTGGATAATGTTTGTTGAGGCAGTGGCGAGGCAGTGGGGTGCGGGGTGGGGGGGCGGTGGTGGGGGAGGTTAGTGGTGATGCTTTAGATTCCACATGCTCAGTCCATTGCTGGTGCTCAGCTCCACACATGCTCCACTCAGTGATGCTGAAAGAGGTTGGCGCCTTTCCAGATGTTTCTTCTTCAGTTTCTGAGTTCAAAGGCACGTGATTCCCACATGTCAGTTGTGATGTTGCGCCATTTAGACAGGGTTTCAAGGTGTTCTTGTAGCATTTCCTCTGCCCTCCTGGTGATCATTTACCATTACAGAGCTCAAAGTAGAAAATTTGTTTAGCGAGTCTTGTGTCTGGCATGCGGGTAATGTGGCTTACCCATCGCAGCTGGTCATGTGTGACCAGTGCCTCAATACTGGAAATATTGACCTGGGAAAGGACAGTCATGTTGGTACATCTATTCTGCCAGTGCATTAGCAGAATTTTGCGAAGGCAATGCAGGTTATAACTCTCCTGGGATTTGGGGTGCCTGTTGTACATTGTCCATGTTTCCAACGCATAAACGACAGTGGAGCCTACAGCTGCTCTGTAGACCATGAGCCTCGTGCTGGGTTTGAAGTCTCGGACTTTGAACACTTTGTTTGTTAGGCCTCCAAAGGCTGCACTTGAATTGGAGTCAATGTTGGACTTCATCATCAATGTCTGCTCACACCTAGAGGAGGCCTCCAAGCCATGGATTCACATTGTCCAGGGGCTCGCTGTTATTTTAGTGGTCAGAGACAGCATTGTGTAGCTGGAGTGGACTGGTTGAGAACGTTTGTTTTCCAGATATTTAGTTTAAGGCTATTCTCTCATACATTCTGTGAATGTGTCTATGAATGTAGCTCAGCCTCTGAATGTGTGTGTACACTCAGGTGATGTCTGTGATTACAGATCTTGGGGTGCTCAATGACAGAAGTTGGGTGCTCAATAACAGAACTTGGGTGCATTTGGTTCTGACCTGGAGGTGTTGAAAGTTGAACAGCTTCCTGCTCATCTTCTTGGATAGCTCTTCTATGGCAGGGAGCTTCACAGAAATGGGTTAGAATGTTGTGATGAGGAAGATGGAAAAGCGTATTGGCATGCTGATGCAGTCCTGTTTGAGCCCAGTTTGTATTTGTATTGGGTCTGTGGTGGAATGTCATATGAAGCAGAAGGCAAATGGCAGTGTATTTCTGTGAACAATCAAATATGTGGTGGATATTCCACAATCCCTCATGTTTGTCAGAGTTGAAGGCCTTTGTGAGATCAAAGACCATGTACAGAGGTTGGTGCTGTTCTCTGCATGTTTCTTGGATTTGTTGTGCACTGAAAATCATGTCCACTGTGCCTGTTGACAGGACGTATCCATATTGCGATTCAGAGAAGAGCTCTTCAGCCATGTGGAGGAGGCAGTTGAGGATGATTCTTGCGATGACCTTTCCCATGGCAGACAGTAGGAAAATCCCTCTGCAATTTCCAGTCAGACCTGTCTCCTTTCATTAGATATAATTATGGCATTTCTGAAATCTCCTGAAATGCACTCTTGTTTCCAGACAAGGGCGATGAGGTTGTGAATTAGTGTTATGTGCCTCTCAGCTCTATTTAGAATTTCAGCAGGGATTCCAACTGTGCTAACAGCCTTGTTGTTTTTCAGCTGTCGGATGGTTTTTGCGACCTTATGGCTGATTGGAGGTGCACTGAGTAGTGTTGTGGGATGGTTTTAAGAACACTTGCTTCAGAGCCTGTGTCTTGGTTCAGGAAGCCCTCAAAGTGCTCCCTCCAGGGGGCATTGATTGCCTTTGTGTCTTTGATGAACAACTGTCTGTTTTTTGGCTCTCAGTGGAATAGGTTCCTGGGTTTTTGAATGGTAGATGGTATTGATTGCATTGAAGAATCCAGGCACATTGTGGTTTTCAGCAAATTGCTGAGTCTCCTGCGCTCCTTCCACCCACCATCTATTCTTTTGGTCATTGGTGCATCTTGACCTTTAGTTGCCTGTTTCCTCCCAGTTGATTTTTGGTTGAGCTGCAAATTCAGGAACACCTTGCGACTGCAATCTAATACAGATCTCCAGATTGTTCTTATCAAACCACTCTTGGTTTTTCTTGGTCAAGAGGCCGAACATCTCCTTAATCTCTTTGGTAACTTTTAGGTTGATCAAGCACAGTGGGCATTCTGTGGCTTTGCATTGTTGGTCTTCACCAGCTTGGCTGTGAATGCTGCCTGAGCAGGTCTTTCTTCTTACAGCCTTTCAGTCCAGCATCACTGAGTCTCTTGCAGCAGAGTATTTTCTGCATCTGCCAGTTTGAGGCTGGTTTGATGCAAATGGTAGCATTGATTAGTTGGTGATCAATTACAGCAGTTGTCAACTCCAGTCATGATGCGGATAGTGCAGACATCTTTGTGCCTTGCTCGATATATGTAGCAGTTAGATGTCAGTGCTTGGAGCATGGTATGTTGGTTTGTTGGTTAGCTTGTTGGTTTTGCATGTTCCTCTCACAGAACAAAGTGTTAGGCCATCTTCTAGACAATTTGTTAGGAACAGAACTCCATTGGAATTTGTTTTCCCCACACTTTCCTTGCCTAATACACCTTTCCAAAATTTGCATCCATCCCCACTCTGGCACTGAAGTAGCGGAGGAAAATCAACTTGTCTCCCTTGAGGATTCAGGATAGTGATTGTCAAGGCAGGGATAGAATGCCTCTTTTGACTCAGCAATTGCATCTAAAGTTGGGGCCTAGGCACTGACAACTGCAATGTACTGCTTCTGTGCCAGGGTGAAACGTAAGGATCATGAGGCGCTCCCTAACAACAGAGAGGGTTTGTTGAGGCATCTGTTTATTTCTTATGGCTAATGAACCCTATAGAGGTTGCACTTTTCTTCTGCTTTGCCTTTCCAGAAGAAGATGTAAACACCATCTTATTATGTAAAAACCGAAAGAACTGCAGATACTGTAAATCAGAATCAAAAACAGAAGTTGCTGGAAAAGCTCAGCACGTCTGGCAGCATCTGTGAAATCAGCGTTAACGGTTCGGGTTCGGTGACCCTTCCTCAGAACTTACTCTGTAAACTGGTCTTCTGCTGAGCAATGGTAAGGCGTTAAGGTGTGATAAATTGGTGCTGCGGTTGAATGATACAACTCAGAGAATCTGTAGCCCCTACACTATCAAAGCTTGACTGCAACGCGAAAACCTGAGGGCTCTGTTTTTATTACTTTGTGCGAAGTACAGGCGAGCAGCGGTAAAGCATTTGAATTGCCCGCCTCCCTAACCTGTCCTTCCTCCCACCTATCCACTCCTCCCACCTCAAGCCCCACCCCCATCTCCTACCTACTAACCTCATCCCACCCCCTTGACTTGTCCGTCCTCCCTGGACTGACCTAGCCTCTCCCTAACTCCCCAACTACACTCACCTTTAGTAGCTCCATCCCCACCTCTTTCACCTGTCTGTCTCCTCTCCAGAAATAGTAGGAACTGCAGATGCTGAAGAATCTGAGATAACAAGGTGTAGAGCTGGATGAACATAGCAGGCCAAGCAGCATCAGAGGAGCAGGAAGGCTGACGTTTCCGGCCTAGACCCTTCTTCAGAAATGGGGGAGGGGAAAGGGGTTCTGAAATAAATAGGGAGAGAGGGGGAGGCGGATAGAAAATGGACAGAGGAGAAGATAGGTGGAGAGGAGACAGACCGGTCAAAGAGGCGGGGATGGAGCCAGTAAAGGTGAGTGTAGGTGGGGAGTTAGGGAGGAGATAGGTCAGTCCAGGGAGGACGGACAGGTCAAGGGGGGGCGGGATGAGGTTAGTAGGTAGGAGATGGGGTTGGGGCTTGAGATGGGAGGAGGGGATTAGGTGGGAGGAAGGACAGGTTAGGGAGGCGGGGACGAGCATGCGGTAGGAGGAGGGGAGATTTTGAAGCTTGTGAAGTCCACATTGATACCATTGGACTGCAGGGTTCCCAAGCAGAATATGAGTTGCTGTTCCTGCAACCTTCAGGTGGCATTGTTGTGGCACTGCAGGAGGCCCAGGATGGACATGTCGTCTGAGGAATGGGAGGGGGCGTTGAAATGGTTCGTGACAGGTAGGTGCAGTTGTTTAGTGCGAACCGAGCTATCTCCACCTATCTTCTCCCTTATCCATCTTCTATCCGCCTCCCCCCTCTCCCTATTTATTTCAGAATCCCCTTCCCCTCCCCCATTTCTGAAGAAGGGTCTAGACACGAAACATCAGCCTTCCTGCTCCTCTGATGCTGCTTGGCCTGCTGTGTTCATCCAGCTCTACACCTTATTATCTCAGATTCTCCAGCATCTGCAGTCCCCACTATCTCTGAACTAGTGCATTAGTGCGTGAGTCTCAAACTTCCAGCTGGCCATTGAATTTTAACTCCGCACCCTCGCTACACCGGTCTAGCAGCGCTCCCAGTTCCTACCCCATGTCACGCCCATATACCAGACATTGGACATCACGCCACGCCCCTAGAACCTCAGACCTCGCCCTCGAAAATCGCGCCCCCGCTAGACCGCAGGCCCCGCCGTGGGCCTCAAGCTCCGCCCCTGACTGCACGCCCCGCCCCTATGGCAACACGCACCGCCCGCCGACCTCAAACCCCGCCTCTAGCACATCACGCCCCGCCCCAAGACCGCACGCCCCGCCCCTAGGTCCGTTTGCCCCGCCCCCCGCCGTGCACTCCGACACCGTCTCTAAGGTGCCCCCCACCGCATTGAGGAGGTGTGGTCGTGTCGTGTGTTGTGGCCTTTTGGATATTCCCCTCCCCCATTCATTACCTCCTTACCCCTGGCCGTTTTCTTGTGTGTGTATTGAATTGTGGAGCCCGACAATGGCGGCAGCAGTCGGTTCGGCCTCGCTCCGTGCCACCGCCTCTCGTTTTGCTTTGCTCCGGGTAGAAGGCGACTCATCCGGTACAGATTCAGACTCCGGGAGAAATCACAGCGCCGGTAACCGGCTTGGGAAAAGTTCCCGAGCCGGAGCTGCAAAGAAAAATAACGGCACCCAGCCTGGGGCCAGCAACAGCGAGAAAAAGAGACAGAAAAGGAAGAAGAAGAAAGAACAGCAGCAAAGCGAAGCGAATGAGGTGAGTGTCGTGGAGCTAGACCCAGGCCGATCAACAGAAACATTTCAGTAAAAAATCAGTGTCAGGTTGTGTGATGTTTACAGGCGAGGCTCGATCTCTTTATTCGTTCGAAGCAAGAACTCCTGTGTTGTCACTTTTTTATGGTTCACACTTTAAGTTGTGTACATTAATCGTGATGGACAAGTTTTCTTCACGTTCTGAGGAAGTCCTGAGCTTTTCCAGCAATTTCTGTTTTAGTTTTAAGTTTTCTTTACGCCTGTGGTAAAAATATATTTAAAATTGTAATTTAGTAAGAAGCGAAGCGACCTGAAGGAGCCCTGTAATCAAACATATTGAGCTGTTTCAGAAATACAAATCGGGCCTTTTGAGGTGTCAGTGTGATGTCGCGTTAACAACAGTTTTGTATTTTGCATCGTGCCTTTAGTTTTGTAGAGAATTTGAGGTGTTCAGCGGGGATCATGCATCGTAGCTGCAAGTCACAAAATTTATCATAAGAACATTCAACCTTATCTACCATTCCTTCAGATCAGAGTGATCATTGACTCCTGAGTATTTACTCGCCTTTGTATTTGTTTGAAATGCATAAATAACAAAAAAAAATAAAAGTTTCACTCAAAAAATTAATTACTAAGCACCCAAAACCTGTAAAAGAGAAAGAGATCTAAGTTTTCCCTGCCATCATTGTAAAGAAAACAGTGTTCCCTGATGTTCTGTTCAATATTTCTGATTACGACCCCTGTTGAGGACTGTCAGAAAAGTAGAAATGGTGTCACTGAATGAAGAAGTGTAAGGGGATGGTAAGTCAGTCCCATGGGATATTTGAGCATATTGGGGTAAGAAGAAGATGGCAGAGAAAACGCAAAGTGAGGAGTGATTGACTGGAGTGGATGGGAGACTTTGGAAAAGTCAGAAATCTGAGGAGGGTATGACGGCAGAGATGCATTGATATATCTGATGTTGAATCCATAGACCTATAAAAATGACAGGCATGACCAAGTGCAGAGATCTCACTGGCAACCCTTCCAACGTCTGACAGATCTAGTTTTGATGACATTTCCCCACACATACTGCTATTATACCATTCTAAATGGTTAACTTTCAAAAGCAACACTTATCTCAGCAGGGGTTCAGAGTTCAATCTGATACTTGAAAGAGGCTGCTAAAGATTAGAAGTTGTCAGGTTTTCATTAAGGTGTGTTTGTTTATTGCAACAGATAAGCTACTAGAAAGGCGCAAGCTTTGAATGGGAATTCTTCTCATTTTCACTTTGAGTGAGTGCTTTCGTATTATTTGTTCATGGATCAGGGCATCGTTAGACCAATATTTACTGCCCTGTCCTAAATATCCTTGAGAAGTTTATCGTCAGCTTTCACCCCAGACAGTTGTTATGTCCACGTGAGGAAATCCTTGGAGAGATTAAGGAGATTTAGTTATTTTTTTCTTTCCAAGGAATCAGCACCCTTTTCTCCTGTGGAGTAAATTGTAATTGTTTGTCTTGAGAGATAGGAAGAACTGCCGATGCTGGAGTCAGACATAACACAGTGTGGAGCTGGAGGAACACAGCCGGCCAGGCAGCATCAGAGGAGCAGGAAAGCTGAAGTTTCGGGTTGGGACCCTTCTTCAGAAATTAGAGTTCGGAAGAAGGGTCCCGTCCTGAATTGTCAGCTTTCCTGCACCCCTGATACTGCCTGGCCTGCTGTGTTCCTTCAGCTCCACACTGTGTTATTGTTTGTCTTGATCTGTGCAAGACAAGAATCGTGGCAGCTTATATCTATTTTTTCAGCAATATCCAGAGCCATGAGTAGCTCTAATTTTGACTTTCGAGCATACATAAATGCACAGTCCCTTCTGTATCACACTGGTGTGTTGAATTCTCCTTGGAATGTTACCTTTTGTACATGTATGATGTATATCTTTAGTGCTCTGGTCAATTCCACAGCTACCGATACATTTTTTTCTCCTGCAGCATCAATTGACTTTGCCTATTAAACATACTCTGAGATTTTTTTCTCTAGATTTTAATAAATTAGAATTGTACCTAAACCTTTTTTTGCAGTGTTCTCCCCTTACATCATAATTATTAACATTTATTTATTTTAACATTATAAGAATGTGTTTTTGCAGACAAAATAAACTAAGTAAATGATGAATCATTGTGGAACCTTTCAGCATAGCTCTGCAATCCAGGCCGAAACTTGCAATCCATGACTGTCCCACTGTCCCAGGACATCAATATGAATCAACAATTTGAAAAGAACACTTTCTTCAACACCTTCAAATCCTCTTGAGCAGTGCAAAACCATTTTTATCTTAGTTTGAAGTATTCAGTACTGTATTCTATTGATTAATCCATTGTCCACAATAGTGAACAGTGTTCAACAGCATAATATCAAAAGGAGTGATGCAATACCTAGAAAGTTTTGAACAGAGTCTGAAATCATTCCTGTTTAATGCTGTGAAACTCAATCATTGAATGCAGCAGATAAATTCACAATGGAAGATCCTGAAGCACTCAGGATACTCTTTTTGAATCTAGAGTATAAACGCTAAATAAAGTACAAAATTTGACCATGCACTCCCTTTACTTCTCTTCTTCCTGAGGCATCAGATGAACACTCTTCCAAAGGTCTGCAAAATTAATGCAACTGGTCTCATAAGACTTGCAACGCATTGTGATCTTGAAAAAGTGCAGTTAGTATTACAGATTCCTCATAAGAGAAAAATCTAGCTTTTTTTTTCTGATCACTTCAAAAGCCTTTAAGCTATCTGTAGATTGTGTTTCCTCCTCAAATATTTTACTCAGGAATTTGATCTGAAACATACTTCTCTCCAACCTTTGTGCAGATTTTGGCCTTCACTATCTTCCTTCAGTGACAGCAAAATTTCAGTGCTGAGTCAGCTTATGAAATGTTTACAGCAGTCTTCACCTGAGGTTCTAAAGATTGAGACAGATAACTAGAGACGCATGTGAGATTCAGGGCCAGGATTTCTTTTAAAGAGATTGCGAACTCCAACCTACACCACCCTGTCATTGAATACCCTGGAGAGTGAGTCAGGATCATGGCAGTCAAGATACTCTGTCAAAGATTCTAAGATATTCCAATCCTAATTTGAGAGTTGAATTTGGACATCCAGAGTACCTAAGTGGATGATATGTTGAAATTGATCCTTTACAAAGCTTCCACTTTTCTTGATGACTGCTTAGGAAATTCTGTCATTGGAAAGGCAGCTTCTATAATACATTAGATGGAGGCCAGGTATGTGAATCTGCACTTATATTTCCAGAGTTAAGTGTGCACCATTTGATTACAAAAAGGCCTCTGCATCTAGTGGATTCGCCATTTGTAGAGCTTGGTATCAATCAAGCCTGTTGGCAAGATGGTGACATTACACTCAGAGTTTTTCACATTGATGTGCAACTCATATGAGGAGCTCCTAGCGTCTGATGTCCCTTTAAAGATGGGCTTAAATTTGCAGATATCTAATGAACCAAAAGGGATGATACATTCAAGGGATGGGTGAATGCTGCAGGAGGTGAAGACGAGGTTTTATATAATATTATGGCACCTCCAAATGACCCTCCAGTACCTCATTCAGGTTCGTACCATATTCCACAAATGTTTGATTCACCAACTATCTTACCTCGCTAATAGCACCTGAGGAGTGAGCTTATTGCTTGGGACTGAAATTTTTTTCAATATGTTCCAAGTAAACTCGCAAATCAGCACTCTAATGGGTATGATGATTTTAAAATTAATCCAGCCACTCAACAAAGACCAATCAATCTGTTTACCAGTGTTGGGATGGTGTTCAAAGCAATACCAGCATACATTCTTGCCTGTCATCATACTTAAGCTTTTGATGTCTTTCTTAGGTGGAGAAAGTTTAAACTTTATTATACATGTCAACTTGGTTTGGAGATTCATAAACATTGGATTTTTGCTTGCCAGCTGTTCAAAAAATATTTTGTGTGTGGAAAGTATGTTCCTACTGCGAGAACAGAAGTAAGGGATGAGAAAAAAAAAGAAAGCTCCGTAAATTTCAAACCAAGTTTTCTATTTATTAATATTTCTGAATATCTTCATGGATATATAGTGACTTGTATAAAGTAGTTACCTTGATCTGTAGATATTTTTATTGCATATATTTTTAAATTTTACATCCAAGTCATTTAGAGTTTGTTTTTTGGTTGTCGTCCTCAAAATAAGCAACCTTAATTTGAAAACTCATGAAGCTTACCTAATCTTACATGTTAATCTTAATATATGGTTGATTTTATGTTTGTTAGCTTTTTACCTGGCAAATACCAGACTATTTGCCTCTGTCCATTGCTCTTCATCGCCCAAAAAGGGACCCTTGGTGCTAGAATGATAATATTGAATGACTTTCTGTGGGGAGAAATTTCCTAATTTTCTGTGTAAAAGGTCAAAACCCCTCGATGTCCTTGCGGTATTAGTGTGCCTCACCCTGCAAAATCCACCTCATGAGATATTTCAATAACATTGCGTAGAATTATATTGAATTTACACTTTTAATATCTACACTGTTTTGCAAAATGCTTATTGTGCATTCTGAGGCAAAATTCATAAGATCGCCTGTAATCTTTCTAAACTCCAATGAATACACACTGAAACTGTTCAAATCTTGTTAGATAACACCCTCCCATCCCTCCTCTCCCAACTCAGGTATCAATCACATAAACCTGTGCTGATCTGCTAATGCATTTGTGTTCTTTGATAAATAGGCAAACCAAAACTGTATACAGGGGATAGTAGGAACTGCAGATGCTGGAAAATCTGAGATAACAAGGTGTAGAGCTGGATGAACACAGCAGGCCAAGCAGCATCATAGGAGCAGGAAGGCTGACGTTTC